TCAAGAATAGGCATATTTTATGTAATTTTCATCCAAATTTGATGACGCAGATAACGAGTATTTTTATGGATTGACCCATCGGTTTTTACATAGACTTATGTGCCTTGATGTTCTATATCCAACGGTGAAAACCGCAGCTCTCTATGACTTTCCCTTCAAAAGTTATAAGAATTCTGCCCAAGCGACTTATTTTCAGAAATGAATAATACATCTTGAGACTGAAGATGAGGGTAATAATGCAGACGAAAGCGTTGGCATATTCTACAGTCAGGCTGCCTTGGTGAACAAATATAGGGTGGTCCATAAATACCTTACCCCGAAAGATTTAGGCTTATAGAATAAGAATCCATTGACGAAAATACATATATGTGTTATGTACTCAGATCCACCGGCATTTGCGCGCGCGACATTTCCGCGCCGACACTTGCGCGCAGCGACATTTTCGCGCACGGCACTTACGCACAACACGAAAATTTTTTTTCGATGTTAATTTAATTATCTGTGAAATTTTTGAACCACTATTTATTGAAATAATATTTATGAAAAGCAAGAATTATACAAGTAAAGAAAAGGCCATAAATAAATAAGATTTACAACTAATAAATAGTAAATCAAACATTCAGAAATTATTCAGAAACGGCCTTTGCAATTTCGTTTGATACAACGTCAAACTAATCTATCTCGACGATAACAAAAACCGTCGAGAAGAAGTTGGTCTTTACCGTTGATTGATTGAATCATAGACATTATTTATAGAAGTTATCGACAAGATGTAAATATTAACGAATAATTTATTTATACTTATGTTTCATCTCCTACATCTTGTTTTTATTTTAATTGTATTGTATTCCTCTTTATTAATTAATCTCATAATCTTATCGATTTTTTTATTTATACAAATTGATGCAATAATGTGGAAACAGAACACTCTTTTTTATTCACATTGATGAGTTCAACTAATCAAACAATATGGAGAGGAAAAATTCATTCTAATGCGCGAAAATGTCGTGCGCGCAAATGTCGTGTCACAATGTGCTCAAGCACATATTGAGAAGAGAACAAAAAGAACATTTAGCATGAAAACAGTAAATTTTGGTTCATTGCTGCTTGAGTACATAGCACATATTTGTGCTTTCTTCAATGGATTCTCATTCTATATGACTGAAACTTTCGGGGTAAGGTAAGTGGTCAAAGATGTATCTGTAGTATAAATATGAGCCTTAACTAACTTTGTATAAGAAATAAAGCGAAAAAATACTGTGTTTCATTACTTATGGGCTGCCGGCTGTAAAAGAACTTGCTCGTAATTTCTGAAATAGTATTGCTTTTCTGTATTTAGCTAACTTATTTGCTTGAATCACTATCTGTCTCTAGTATTAGCATATTAATATAATTAGATTCTAATGTTCGAGCTCAAAAACCTTTTGTTCTTGTATTACAAAATTTTCCGACTAATTCTCGTAGACTGCAATAAATTCCGATAGTCAGTCGTGTATGATCAGATATAACAAATGATCATGATCACATGTTTTTTTTTCTTATAGAAATTAAGTGAAGAAGCAACACAATTTATTTATACTGAAATTCAACGTCATAATGTTTGAGCAAGTATGCAATTGATCATTATCAATATCATCAACAGCTATAGTTGCACATCAATTATCTATAACAAATGAATTATTTACTGAAAATTCTTCTCATGATAATGAAACAACAGCACTTGAAATAGCTGCAGAGCAAGTAAATATCATAATAATAAATGTTTTTTTCTTTTTAATTGATTAGAAAAAAAATTTATAGATGTGTTTAAATTCACAAAAGACATTGGAAGAACAAACAATATATGCATTAGCTATTCATTATATGAAATTAATAGTTTATAGCAAATTACCATTAGATATGTCACCATCATCAAATATTCAACAATCAATATATAATCATGTAACATATACAATACCTAATGATTCTGATAGTTTAACAAGTGATTTTTATTATAGTATAAATGATTCATTTAAGTATGTTTTAAATATTGAATAATTTTTATTTTAATCATAATAAATTTTAGTGTTTGAGATGCTAATGAAATATCAACAGTTGGTTCACATGATAGTGAAAATGAATGGATTTGATTTAAATAAGAATGACGATCAAATAACTGATCTTGCATTTAGTTTTATTAGAAAGTTTCTTAATAAAATTTGTGATGAAGTAGTATTAATGCAATACATCAAAATAATCTTCATACAAAACTTTATCGTATATTTTTGTAGTTTTCATTTACTTCAAAAAACAACTTTGATTTTAGTCGAAATGCTATGAATCACTTTTTGTAGTACATTGTCTAATTAAACTATGCGGGTATTGGTATTGCTCGTGTGGCAAATAGGAGAAAATCAGCAGTTATATAAACAATAAAGATGATCCACACGATTGATTCAACAATAATCTCATTAGTACCTACAACTTAGATATTATTTTTTACAGGCATCTCGATATTAGGCCAAATACTTCAGTCAATCTTCGACTTCTGATACATTCGGTAGACAGTTTACGGTAAATTTGATAAACAGCCTCTGGCTTCTGCTAAATCTAGTAAGCAGTCTAAGTCTCGCAAATCTTGTACACACTCTGAGACTTCGACGACCCTCATTGACACAATAGAACTTGCATCGAATATGAAGCCAATCTTTACTAAATTTTGCCTCCTGCAGCGACAGACTCAGTTGTCTTTCTGTGAAAGAAATGACTAATCGTCAGACGTGTATGCGCCTTCGGCGGTAAAAGTATTGAATTGAGAAACATACCTGCATTGAATATGAAAACATGTTATTTCTAGAAACTATCAAGGAAAACATAACTTTTAGCAATTTCGGAAAAACTTTCGATCCCTGCGAGATATTGCCTTTGATCCTGTACTAGTTTGTGAGGTTTGCCGAAGTCCACATTTTGCATAAAGTTATGTTTCCACCCAAAAAAAAAGGCTTCGCGAAATCTTCACATTGGAAAATAACTTTATGCTACCTCTGCTTAAAACAATTTCTTACCTTTTACACTCATTCCTGTCCTCCCCATTTGACTTTTCAACTGTGTCTAGGAAAAATATTGAATAATATCTGCGAAAAAAAATTAGCCCTCGGCACTGCCAAAAACTATCGAGAGTCCCGCATACACTTCCGATTTACTTTTTATTCTAGAGAAAAAAAACACATTGAGACAGATTTAGAATACATGGAAGTATCCTTCTTAAAAAAAGCAGATTTTTATTAATTAGGAATATATCCTGCGAATGTGTTCATAATTGATAAAAGAAATCGTTTTTTTTCTTTTCAAATCGAAATCCAAAAGGATTTCTATAAAAAAAAAAGATAATTTAATTTATTCGATAGAAATGATATAGAAAAAATAGCTGATAGGCTTAATGCTGAACCATCAACAGCTTGTCGAATATTCATCATTTGCTTTAATGCATTAGAATTTAAATCAAAATGAAAATTTGCAGATATCTTATTTTAGAAAAATATGTTTTTCTTTCATTTAAATGTTCTCTTTCCATTTCAAATCTAAATTAAACAAATTATTATTAATTATAAAGAAAAATATTATTGTTACTTGAAATCTAAACGTTTAACTTGAAGGTTAACTGTTGTATACAATTGAAGAGGTTCAACAAAATAAAGCGAAGAAAATATTTTGTTCTATATTATTTAATTTACATCTACCTGTGATGGATAAGAATTAAATAATTTAGAATAACGATTTTTTTCCTCGTAATAATTCATTTTCTTTATCAATACTTTCAATTGGAATACGTTCAACTGAAATCTAAAATCAAATAAAAAGCGAAGTACATTGAAATAATCTTACTTAAATGAGGCATTATTGTATTTGGTTCTGTTTTATCTAAATCATCTTTTGCTAAAGCACAACTACTTTTTGTTGGATTAATTATCGAATCATTAATAGCTGATTTTTTTGGACTATTCTAAATAAAAATCAATTATTTATTTTCTAAAACTTAAATAAATTTTTTACTTTTTTTTGATCGATTAAAGGTGGTCGATTATCATCAATTAAATCGTCTTCATAATCTTGTCTTGGTATTTGTTTTTAAGCTTGCATTTGTTCTTGATGAACATTTAATAATATTATTGCACTATCATAATGATTATAAATAACGAAAAAAAATAATTTTCTTTAGAAATAAAATTTAATAAAAAATAAACTTTCAACGAAGCAAAAAAATGTTCACCATTAAAACCTTGTAAACAATCAACGAATATGTGGATCATTTAAAGGTCTAAAAACAAGAAAGAAAATAAGAATGTTTTCGTTTTGTTTATTTATAAAATTTTCGAACTCTTTTTTTAGGCATTATTGGAACCAGGTAATGCTCATCCTACGGATTCGCTGACACTTTTCTGAAAATTCATATGAATATATTTATAACCTTTTCTCTATCAATATAAGTGAATAGCATCAACATTTTTATCCTGCAGTTTTAGGCATGAAGATAGGTGTCCACGAGAATACAGACAAGACTAATGTCCATTTGTATTCATCTTATATTTCTCACTAGTATTCACTTTATCCAACACAACCTAACCATTACAGTAACATCCATAATCCAACTAAATTCTACATCTATACCAAAAAGACATTTGAATCTAAAAATCTTATTGATCGCAGACTACATAGAAAAATATGCGATCGACTCAATTTTCAACTGAATAAATACGAAATGAGAGGTTTTTTGTTGAAGAAACTATTTGAAACCGTATTACACAGAGCAAAAATATCGACTATCACTTTTTACATAAACCACTGCTTTTATATTCTGACCCAAGAAACAGTAAGTAAGACATTTTAAGACATCTTCGAACAAATCTTGCAATGTGACAGAACAATCAAAAACACTTCTGATAATACTAAGAAAAAGGAACTACTTTGAATATATTAAAAATTCACATACAAGAGTCATAGCACTTTTAATCGTACTCTAAAACAATTAAGAAAAACAACATAGACATTGTCTCATGTCACACTATCTTTCAACAACGAAGACTGTTTAAATAAACATTGTCCTCTCCGTTTGACTTTTTACATCTTCACTCGCATTAGAAGCTATGATAAATCCTCGGATGGTAGTAATTCCGCATACTTCGGTTTGAATATCATGAAGTGTTGTTGATATGGATGTGAATATTCTCTATAGTCATATCCTCAATGTTTGAATTAAATATTAAATAAAACAAAAGATAGATAAAGAAGAAAAGTAAAAAGATTGCTTTCAACCAAAAGTAGTAAACGATTCATTCGATTCACTTTCAACTAACATCCACGTGCATATTTTTTGAAAGGTATTTGTCAAGTCATAATGATAGAAAATTTCGAATTTATTGGGAAAGTCCTTTCAGAAACTATAAATTTAAAGAATCTAAAGATAAATCTCTGATCGAAATGAATTTTTTCCTGCAAATAAACTTTTTTTACCGGTGAAAGATCTAGTGTGAATATAAATGAGAAATGTAATATGGAAATATTTAATTTCAAATAACAGCAATGCATGTATCTAGTTCCTAAATACTATAAATTATAGTTGACTGAAGAAATATCAGATCCGTAGTTTGAATAATATGTTAGACACTTTTAAAACTCTCAATAACTCTATATTTTAAATTTTCAAGGGTTAAACCTTTTTTCAAGAAGATTTCGATTCATTGTGGTCTTTCAAAAGTATCAGTTCGATCTATAGCTGCTAGTGTAAATGTCTTCAATATGAAGGGTATTGAGAATTTTCTTTTCCAAATTCACAAGTAGATATGTTTCCTTTTTGAGGAAAACAAAGATAATATTGATGTATATTTCATCTTTTTTAAACAACATTTTCTTTAAATAATTATATCGATTAAGATACACTCTATCCATACAATAAATTCTATGAGATTTGACGACTTGTTAAATTAAACGTGCACTATCTTTGACACAATCTCTTCTTGCAAAATCTGTGTTCGCGTCTTTCCAATATTTCAAGACTTGGACTACGGTGTGAGTGCAGATGAACAGATACGACACAACCAAACCCACACACTTACAACACTAAAAAATAAGGTGTGAGTGTGAGTGGATGTGGTGTGGGCCTAGATGTTCTATTCCATAACAGCCACCCCCACACCCACCCCACACCCACACCCCACACCCACATCCACTCACACCCACACCCACCCTCTCAAAATAATTGAGAAATATAAATTTTTTAATTATCAAGAATATTTTTTTCTAAATAGCTGTACGTAGAAATTATCGTGAAATCGATGAAGATGAAGATGAATATGAAGAAGAACAAGAACAAGAAATTGAAAACGATAATGAAAGTGATTATGAAGAAGAAACACGAAATCAACGACGTTCAAAACGTGTACGTCGATTAAGTCCATCATCAACAAATGATAAATC